TTCATAGAGCTGCAACTCAGCACTAAGAAATACAAACAGTAAACCGAGGATACTCCCACTGAAGACCTCAAAAATTAATAGTTATTTTATGCAATGAACATAGGAGAATAGGGGTTTAGGTTACAATTACAGGAAGAAAAAAGGAACAGAAAGTAAATTTGGAAAATTATGCGTTTCTCTTTGGGACTGATTAAATTGATCTTTTGGGAATCTAGATTTGATTCTTCAGCGTTGGTTATAGCTTTATCCTAGGTTGAATGTTGACGGTACGATAAGGAAAGAAAGAATTTATTTGATTGGTATCTGATATAATAATCAATTATATTTGATTGGTATCAGATATAATTATTTAATTTGACTGAGAAAAAGCAATTTGGGATGAAACTGAATATTTTATTGAATAAATTGTCGAGACTCGAATTGGATTTCGATTTAGAGGCAGAGCCTATTTGAATTATATATAGAAGTGGGGCCTATTGGAATTAGATAAAGCCACAGAGTCTATTTGAATTATATAAAGCCACAGGGCAAATTGGAATTAGATATATCCGAAGGGCCTATTGGAATTAGATATAGTCGCAGGACCTATTGGAATTACTCGTAGATATAGCCGTATGGCCTATTTGAATTATGTATAGTCTCAGGGCATATTGGAATTAGATAAGTCGTAGGGCTTATTACAATTACATAAAGGCGAAGAGGCTTTTTGAATTATATATAGCCGAAAGGCTTATTGGATTTGTATATAGCCACAGGGCTTATTAGAATTAGATATAGCCGGAGGCATGACCTATTTCAACTATAAAAAGCGGCAGGGTCTATTGGAATTAGATATAGCGGCCTATTGCAATTGGATATAGCAGCAGGGCCTATTTGCATTAGATATATTTGCAGGGCCTATTGGAATTAGATATAACCACATGGCCCATTTGAATTATATGTAGTCGCAGGGCCAATTGGAATTATAATAAGCCGCTGAGCATCATGTAATTAGATATAGCCGCAGAGCCTATATGAATTACATGTAGCCGCAGGGTCTATTAAGATTAGGTATAGCCGTAGGGCCTATTTAATTATAAATAGCCGAACGGCCTATTGGAATTAGAAACAGTCGCAAGACCTATTTGAACTACAAATAGAACAGCAGAGCTTATTGGAAATATATATAGCCGCAGGGCATATTTAAATTATATATAGTAGCAGGGCCGATTTAAATATATATAATCGCCGGGCCTATGGGAATTAGATATATCAGCAGGGCGTATTTGAATTATATATAGCCGCAGGGCCTATATTATATATAGTTATATATAGTTGCAGGGTCTCTTTGAATTATATGTAACAGACCGAGCAATGGGAATTAGATATTGAAAGCTTGTTCTAACTTAATTTGTTAAATTTCACTACTGTGTGCAGGTCATAATCAACAGCCCAAAAATATTCGAATTTTTTTTTAATACAGGATCGTGTATAATTTTTGTTTTGTCTTAGAAAAGGAACTATGTATCAAGAGAATTTCAAAACCCAAATACATATCACCTAACAACAAAAACAATAACTTTTTTCACAATAACATAATAATTCTAGCATAAAGTCCGTCTCCTCTCTTAAAAATTAAATTATTTAATTAATAAATTTAAATACAATGATACATTTTTTTAAACTTTGACGACATCATAAAGAGATCATCATCAAGCACCGTTTGTGAAGTTTAAGTTGCGTGCACTTTGCGAGCATTCATGACAACATTCATTTAATTGGGCTTGTCGCTCTCTGCATTTACTTTTTACTTATGCATGGTATAATGGCCGCTATTTACACTGAAGGATGTCATGACACGCAACCATTGCACACAAGGATTAAAGGAGATGCTTGGGGCACTATGGAAATGCTGCCAATAGCCTCCTACATCTTAGCGATTGATGCTCTGCGCAACTTCATGCTCTTCGCAGTCATGGCAAGTCCGTGGCGAAAGATAATGATTATTACAGACCTTTTATCTGGGGGCTTGCCCCCACACAACTGCGCTAAGCTTGCGATGGTCAGGGGACTGGTGACGCCGAACATACGTGTCCGCACACATCCGGGTTCTTCCACGGCAGTGTAGTGTAAGAAATGGACACCCGTAAGTCTAGGCGCAGCAGCATCAGTGTCCGTTTCTCTTCTTCGTCTTGGAACCACGGTCACCGCAACCCTCCAATACTCGTAGCACACTCATTCGACCTTCTCTCGCGTCTCAAAGATATCACCACTCGTTGCTATATACGGCGTAGGTCGGCACAGGCACTACCATTCAAATATCTAAGAATGTGTATAAATAAGGGGTTTTAAACTCTTACCGAGAGGATAATGCCCGGGCTATTTGAATGTAGTGTATCTGTGTCCACCACAGTTAGGTAAAGGTTACAATATTGCCACAAGGCCTATGAGAATTAAATACAGCCGCAGCTCCTATGGGAATTAGATATAGCCGCAATGCTTATGGGAGATAGATATAATTGACGAACCTATGGGAATTAGATATAGCCGCAGGACCCAAGGTAATTAGATATAGCCGCAGAGTCTATTGGAATTAGAAATAGCCGAAGTGCCTATGACAATTAGATACAACCGCAGGGCCTATGTGAATTATATATAGAGTCAGCGCGTATAGAAATTTAATATTGACACAGGGCCTATTGAATTAGTTATAGCCGTAGTATCTACGGAATTTAGACATAGCCACGCGGTATATTCAAATTAGAAATCACCGAAGGGCCTATTAGAATTAGGTATAGTCGCAATGCCTTTGGGAATTAGATAAGGCCGCAGAGCCTATGGGAATTAGATATCGCCGACGGATTTTGGGAATTGAATATATGAGCAGGCCTTAGGCGAATTAGATATAGCCGAAGGGACCATTAAAACTAGATTAGCCTAAGGTCTTAAGTGAATTACATATAACCGCAGGGCTCATAGAAATTAAATATAGCCGCCGGGCTTCTGGGTACTAGATGTAACAGAGAGGCGTACGGGATTTTGATATAGCCAAAACGCCTATTGGTTTAGATATAGCCGCGGGGCTTATGGCATTTGGATTAGGACACACGGCAAAAGGAATTAGACACTCGTAAAGACGCAGGGCCTATGGAAATATTACTTGCCCTTGGAAATATTACTGCCTATAGTTATTGCCCTACGACTTATGGGAATTAGATGTAGATTCAATGTTTACAGGTCATAGATACAGCCGTTAGGCCTTTGGGAACTAGATATAGTCGCAGGGATATGAAAAATAGATATAGATCCAGGGCCAATGGAAATTAGATATAGCCGCAGGGATTATTAGAATTAGATATAGCCGCATGCCCTGTATACTCGTAAATTGAATATATCAATAGGGCCTATGGGAATTTGATATAGCCGCAGGGCCTATGCGAATTCCATGTAGCCACAGGGTCTACGGAATTTAGATATCACCACAGTGTTTATGGGTATTTATATAGACGCAATGCCTATTAGAAAATTATATAGCCGCAGAGCCTATGGAAATTAGATATAACCGGAGGGCCAATACGAATTATGTAGAGCCGCAGGGCCTATGGGAATTAATTTAGGCTGCGGGGCCAAATGGCATTAGATAGAGCCGCATGGTCTATCGGAATAAGCCATAGCAGAAGTGCATTTGTTATTTAGATAAAGCAGTAATAGTACATTTAGATATTGGGGTATACGATATATCCGCAGGGCCTATTGGAATTATATATATATATATATATATATATATATATATATATATATATATATATATATATATATATTCCAAACATACGAACATACATTCATTTAATAGAAGATGCTCATTATTATATAATAACCTAGAGTTCGAGTGACTGTGTATATTTCCTAAACGGTTCTTTATTTATTTTTCTCAGGTCTGCTACCAGCATAGTTCCTTGGATTTTTTAGAAATAAACACTTTTTACTTTCACCCATGCACTTTCAACTGTTTCTCTGTTTATTAAATACGTCAGTTTTTAGTTACCTTATTGCATATATTTAGTATTCATTGTGACGCATCCGAATGGACCGTCATAGTATGGTTTAGGCCCAAGTAGTGTTTACAGACACACAAACGGACAGACGGACGGACAGTCGGACGGATGGACAGACGCACGAAATAAAAAACGTTTTTTCGGTATAGAGGTCCCCAAAAGGTGTATACCGTGAAAATCACGAAATTGATTTCCCGCAGCATTACATAACTTTCCCTATACTACGTATATTACTCCGTATATACGTGTTAAAAAGTATGAAATGACATTACACCCGAGAAAATATTATCATAATGATTCTAATTTCCAGTAAAATCTTTACTAAATACAAAATAAAAGACAGAATTAAAGACTTTCATTACAATTATATTTTAAACCATTTCCAAAACACTTCAGATTTTAATATACATTATAAATAGTATTTAATTAAATAATAATATATGTAATATAATAATAAATCATTATATAATATTAAATTTTATTATTTAAGAAATGCTAACGTGCAACAAGGCGGTCAAGAAGGAAAAACCGTATTTGGTGGTAAATACGCTATGACACGTTCCATAATTATCTAAATTTATTATTTTAATGAAGGGATCTTATGGTGATTATCATGTACAACAGGTTTTGAAATCTTAAATTTTGGCCACGCCACATCCCCTCTATCACTCCTAATAGCAATTCTACATCGCTGCTATATCGCTCGTTTCCCTCTCGATCCTTTTTGAACTAGAAGTTCGCAATAAATACCAATTATGTTCGGCTTTATACCGGTTATAATTCAAAGCTTGCTAATCTCGCGGTTTTTTAAATTTTATTTTTACTTATTTATCTTTAACTTTTACTCATCCTTCAACTATTTATTGTTAAAACGATGGGAAGGGATTCTGGAACTCAAGAAAACGTGCGCAGATGATCTTCTTCCCCATACGTCACATACAGTTTTTTTCTGTTCTTTGACTAAATAAATCTAAATCTAAATTCCGTTACTTGATACGCCTGTGAATAAGCCGGCTACTGTTTTAAACACACTGGCGCACGCAACTGTGATGTTATATTTCTTGTTTCGATACCAGAAGTTATTTAATATTTTGTACTCAACATTTCGAAAATATACAACAGATGTTCTGTTAGTTCTCTGTTATCATTATGTCCGTACTTTTGAAGGAGGCACGGTAATTCTGTGCCGCTACTGGAATGGTAATCTGTATTCGCTCATCAAATCATCAATAAGAAAGTAGCATTCATTAAAACTGCCTTCAAGTCAAAGACATGAACTGCATGGCCTCATTGGCATTAGTGGCTGGCGAAATCCCTTTGATTTCCTCCTCCTTCTCCTCCTTTTCTTCTTCTTCTTCTTATCGCCCTGCACAATTTATTTTGTCAGGAAATGTGGTACCAAGCGTTTTATGTGACCAAATTCTCGTTAGCAATGCGTGTTATTTTCCGACACCATTCCTACACGGTTTTCATCCGCTCTGATTAGTGTTGGTTTTTTGCCTACCAAAACGTGTCCCAAAGTATTTCGAGGTGGGAAACTTGGTTTTCTTACTTACAATATTTTCTTACAATATAAGCAAAATAAAATATTTTATTATGAGTTGTTTTTACGAAATTTTGCGTGAAATGAAGGCAATTTTTTTAACATTTTTTCTCAAAATTCGGTCCAATTTTTTCCTTCAAATTTTCTCATTGTATTATCTCGTCGAAATTGACTCCTCGTAAAAGACCTCGGAATAAAAAATTGGTGCTAGCCTCATACCCGGCGACCTGTATTTTCGAAAATTGCAAAAAGTAAACGTTGAAAAAGTACAATGTTGAAGAATAATATATTGTTTTAAATGAAATCTGTTAAAAAAATCAATCTTTAAAAGATCATGTACATTTCTTAAACGAGTTATATTGACATATTTCCTATAATAAATTAATGCAATTGTAAAAAACAATTGATCAAAATCCACTACAACGTTTTTCTTCACATCTCTTCCATCGCCAAACAAGCGACGCTTGAAAGAATGGCTTCTTCTTTAAGTTGATTTATTTCGCCACAGTGTTTAAACTTAGTGTGAGTTTCACTTGTACACTAATGATGTGAAAGTTGTAAGTTCTTTGACGTCATTTCTATACTTCACACACCCTTTGCAACACAAAACTATTAATACAGTACACTCTCCAACACAGCCAACTGGAAGTTTATTGAAATGAATTATCTTCATTTGAATAATAGTGGTCAACAAACAACTCTCAGCGTGATATAATGCTTTATTTTAACATTTGATACCTATATGTGAAATAAAAGTTGTGCAATCAAATGGAATTAACACGTAAAATAACCCTCACTTTTTGTTCCCTTTTGTGTGCTTGGCATTCTTTTGAGCATCGCTGTTGCTTGTTTTTCTGGACAAATCTTGTTTTGCGCCGGGACCCCTTTCCGGAAATAGTCGAAAAACTTCAAGTCCTCCTCCTGCACACGTTACAAAGTTACCTACTCTTGTAACTCGCTGATGCGGCAATGTGGTTGTATGACTACCACCACAATAGCGTTGACATAAGTGATCCCTGAAAATTCAAAACAATAGTTATTAGAACAGAAAAAGAGGAGAGTAAAAATTATGTCTTAGCGAAGAGTTAAAATGAGATCAAAAAGTTTTTAATTTGACTTTTTTTGACGTGACGTCCCTGTACGACTTGAGGATTGATCGGAGGGGAAAATATCAAAAGTACTCAATTGTCTCGTTCAAAAATATTAACATTAAAATAAGTATTTTCCCAATGATGTTATTAAGAGCAATTTTGAGTAAAGGTTCGAAATAGCATTTACTTGAAAGGAGAGAAGGCTCTCTCTCGGAATTCACAGAACTATAAAAATCTTTCAGGTTTGGAAATCTCGATGAAATGGAAAAAGCGATTTTCAGCATGTTTCAAGTAATTTGACAAGTTTGTCACATTATATACAAAATAACGACTTTATGAAAATGTTAAATTATCTTTCATCATTTCGTGACATGTATTTTCTAATATTTAATATTATTCAAATTGCATACGTAAATTTTCGTTTTCCTCTGTAGAATTGTGTTATTGTCGGAAATAGACGGACTCAGAAATAGACGGACAAATAGCGATGCGCAATTTTTATAGCTGTCCATCGTGACAAAATGGTTTTCCAGAACCTTCGGGAGACCCAGTTCATTCACTAGCGTTGTATTTTGACGGCAATATTTCAATCGTAAAAATGTTAGCTTAACTTATTGCTGTTTTATTATACAGGACAAAAATGTCTAATTTTTGTGTTGTGTGAAATTTTGTTTTCTTCGAATGCTTCTTCATTTCGAAATTCGAAACAATTTATTAACATTATATCTATAGTGAGTGAGGTTAAGGGTTTCATATGACATTTCCGAACCGTACTTAATACTATCCCTTGAGCGTTGAGGGGCCTTGAGAGTTGTGTATACCATACCAATCCATTTTATTGATTTAAATGTACACTTCGGTGACAATTATTATCACTTCACCAAAACAGTTGGATGACTATTCATGAGAGTTAACATCGCGAGTCTAAACTATAAAAGAAAAAAACAGAAGCGATACAGAATGACTTAACATGGAGATTTTTCACGTACAACTAGCCACTAGCCAAACGCATCGCTCGAAATCTCAAGACCACTTCGCGCGCTAACTTGACCCTCAGATCAACGAGCTTCTGCAAGAGTGGGAGGGTAATAACTGACAAAATCGCAAAGCCGCTGTCGCAATTTTGTTCTCTTTGTGATACCCCGAGTAATGTAATAGTCGAGACCGATCGAGGAGTATCAATTTTGGAGAAAATCGGCTGAACAGTTTAGATGCTAGCGTTGACCACAGATGGACAGACCTTTTGACGTCAATCTATTTTTCGGTATCAAGAACACACAATAAAGTATTCTGGCTACACTAGTGTTCGAGAAATTTTTCTATATTTAGCAACTTGATTTATCCACTCTTTCGTTACCAGAGTCTGGCAATAAGAATTTATCTGCCAAAAACTGGCTGCTTTCCGCCGCACGATTATATATTTTTCTAACAAAGAACGTTCGTAAGAGCGAGATAGTAAAAATTGCCAAAATATTGTAAAACTTGTCAATAACGGAATATTTTAAAATGGAAAAATGGTGATTTATAAGCTATTTGAGGTCTAATTAAGTTTTCGAAAACTCAAACTTTTTCTCAGTAAATGAGCTCAAACTTCCGCATTTTCAGAATGGATCGAACGACTTTTTTCAAAAATTATTATAATTTTTTTCATTTACACTTCTCGTACGAATAGGGCTAGGTCACTCATGTCACTCAGACCACTCATGGCAATTGATAATAGCTGAAAAGGTGGGGCAGTACTGAAAAGATAGCCCATATAAATATTAGGCTTCCTTCTGAACAGAGTTCTTATTATTCTTCATGTCTTCCGGGCTGATGGGCCGTGGTCCAATTGGCTCTCAGAGCCAATTGTACCACGGCCCATCAGCCCAGAAGACATGAATATTGACTCCGGCCGTGAAAGCCTCCAATGCTGTATAGAGTTCTTATTGTTTTAAAATTTAGGGATATGTTCACAACTCTGTAAATTTCTTAAAACCAAATCAGTACTGATTTACATATTTTAATAACGAGTTTTTTTTGTTACGATTTAGCCTTTCCATGACATTTGACTGGATGATGCCTCGGCTATCCATGTTCCGAATATGTATTTTTATCGGTCATTTGTTTACCGCTTTGCATCCTTATTACTACATATAACTATCTTTAATTTGTGATTATTTACTACATTTTAAGCTAGTTATACATTTTAAGCTAGTTATAATGTAGTTTATAAACGAGTTAAGTTGGTGACAATGCGACTAAAAATATTTCGATATTTTAAAATGAGGCTCTTTTCTCTTTTTAAAATTAAAAAAGGCTATTGTGAAAGAATCGACATCCATCAAAGACAGGAATAACAGCAGGTTTATCATCAACATTACTTGTCCAGCAGGTTACCTTGTCACTTACTATACCCACGACTGGTCATTATTAAGTGTTTATTTTGCAAGAAACATACAATTATAAATGGAAACGCAAGTATTGTTAATATAATTTGTTTAGATTAACCTACCCTTTTGATATACCAGGTTTCCCTTCATTAACCCGAGTTTTCGCTCTTTGGCTTGAAAGCGCTTCTTCCAGGCGAAGTACATTTTTTGGTGGTAACCTGTAAACAAAAAATGCAAATAACCTGAAGCTATTGTAAAAGTATAATATATAACCATTTACCAAAGTTTAAAAGTTGGACACTGTGCCAAAATGTTAAACCTTATAAGAATGGATGAAAACCAGAATGGCATAAGAAACATTTTATAAATTCTGATAAATGTGTTTATTTAAGTCAATACCACCGTTACGTCGCGAAGCTTTGTTCATTATTATAACCACAGCATTTACTGTTCAATTTTTTATTAAACCCACGAAAATACATTGTCAGTGAAATATAGTCTAAAATAAACACTTTTTCTAAGAATTTATAAAATGTCACTTAAAACCATTTTGATTCTCACCCATTCATGTACAGAAAAAAGTACATTTTGTGATTTTAATAAACTAAATAAATTCTGTTATCAACATACCTGTCTACTTTCAGAATATAACTTACGTACTATGGAGAAAGTACTGTAACATAGCAGCAAATGTAAACTAGTAGTGCTACAGAATGGCATAGGGTATCTCGACTACTTGGTTTCCTATTCTATTAAGTCTGGGGTAACTTTTCGCATTAACCCCACACTCATTCCAGCTGACATCTATTGCCGACTCAAACAATTGCTTTTCACATTTTCTCACTTTTTCGGTTCTCTAATGATAGAATCGAAAAATTACTTAAATCATATTATAGAAGAGTAAAACCTGGCTCTACATTCAATTTTTCGTTGTAACGTTTTCAGGCGTATCAGAGATCATTAAATTTGAGCGTTTTTTAAAATGTGAAGTTTTCACCTCTTTTCATTAAAATAAGTGTTTTGGAGAAACTTTATTACACATAATTAGAAGCACTTGCATTTCCAATTGCAATGATGTAAACAATTCGCCACTTAATGTAAGTATTAATGACCTGAGATACTTTTCAAAACAATTTTATTTCTGTATTATTTTAATGAAACAAACGAATACAGCAAAATGCTCTTTATATCATCTTATACAGTGTATGTCCGTACAAAAAGTTTGCAGAAACAATTTGGAGCAGTCTTGGCAGTAGATATCAGCTGAGAAGAGGGTGGTTTAAAACCAAAAAGATTGCGTAGACTAAAGATATAAGGAAAGAACTAGTACGAGAAAGTCACTGTCATTCTGTAGCACTATTTGTTTATTCTGCAGATCACGTGATTATTCTAGTCCGCAATAAAGAATTAAGAATATATTAGTTTTAAAATTATTCAAGATCCACATCTTCAGGGGATCATGCAAAGTGTAAATTCTTCTTGAAGTGTGTCATATTTTCTTACTTTTTTTCTTCGCGTTACTTAAAAAAGGAATGTTATTGTGTTGCTGTTAAAGCGCTTTAAGGAAAATTTACCTTCTATTTTCCTTCCTAATCATATCCAACTCGTAAGTGAGATATGGTTTGAGATTGCGATGCGCAGTTGCTGCCGGAGGTACAGGAACATTACCTTCCAGATTCCTCGGCATTACTGCATCTAAATCACATGACACGCAAGTGACATCCCTGAAAAGAAATTGCTCAAGTAAAGGTTGGTTACCAACAATCATTATTACAGGTATATCTTTACTTTTTGTAACTTATTTTTTATAAGAGCGACTAAATACATTTGATCATGTGTTTGGTATCAATTTCACTATTTAATTCGTTTAATATAAGTTGTAACTGTCTTGTTCATTTTTCATTAAGGTCGCATCCTAAATATTTGGTGAAGAATGGAAGAACAGTTTAGTAGAAAAAATGTATTTATAAACAAAAGTTAATGCCGACGAACTGCTATTTCTCTTCGAAATTAATTACATTTTACTTTCTCTCATACTGTTTAGCTAATATAGTGCACCATTACAGAGAACTTATAGTAATGGCGGGGAGAAAACGGCTACGGAAAAACTGATTCTTCGACCCAGTTCCTTCAATTTTTCAAAATTGTACGGGTACATTTCGTCAGGAAAACGCGTATTGCAAGAACCTGATACTGTAGAAGTAGATATTTTTTGTTAATACGTATTATCTATTAAGTTACTTCCCCTAAGACGATCTTAAGCCAGAATACAAATTTTGTGGGTTCTTAATACTTAAAATTGTTTGAAGACGAAACGTCTTTCCGTCCGTATGACTGTACGTGAACTACAACCATAAATAGAATTTTCGCCAAAATTGATATTCCCAGATCGATCTCATTGATGTCACGGTTCCTTCAATTTGAAATGGATATTTTAAGTCTTAGGGGTAGTACTCTTTACATGAGACATCAACATTTTCAAAACTTTCTCAAAATTTGCTCCAAATGTTTTTGGCGATCGTTTCCTCGTATACAACAAAATACGTGTTAAGAAATCACACAGATCACATTTTCTTTGAACATCTGAATTTTCGCAAAGTGACAGAGTTTAGAGTTTATTCGACGCCTTCCTACAACTACAATTTTGAAAATAAAGACATTTCATTTTCTCCCATTCTATTTATGCAGTAAAATATATTAATGCTGCAGGAAAAAACGGCGATTTTTCGATAGAAAAACTGTTATTGCCAAGCCCTGGTGACAAAAAAGTGGATGAATCTTATTTCTATATGGAATGGATTACCTTCTCTAACAAGTGGTATAGCTAGAATCCATTATTTGTAGGAACTTTATATCAAAAAATCGATTGACTACGAAATTCCGTCCATCCGTCTGTCTTTGGTCAATGCTAGGACTCAAATCCTTCAGACGATTTTCTCCAAAATTGATATTCCCCAATCGATCTGAAAGCCTTCGAGATCCTGCGAGTTCGAAATTGATATTGTGATTTTGGGGTCTGTTCTATATGAAACTTCAGTGACACTTCAATTTTTCTCAAAAATAGCTCAAAAGTTTTGGATTAACTTTTAAACTCATAAATGCTTAAAACTAGATGTGTAAATATCTAAAATAAATGTCGCAGAACTCATTTTTGTTGACTTCCCTCATTTTTTGAAAATTCTGTTCCCGTTTTCCTGCTGCAACAATATTTAAGATAGAAATTTACGCTGAGGTGTCCGAAATGGTGGGGTAGCAATATGCAAATACAAAGATAGTAGTAGTATTGCGTACAGAAGGTATAATAGGTTCAGTACATTGACAAAGTTTTCATTTGCACTAAAAGTGATTCAGGTGAAAATGTTTCTGACATGATTATGGACGCAGAACGGGAATTAACAGATTTTGTACGCGGATTGGTTGTTGGAGACAGATGTATGGGATATTCCATTTCGGAATTCGTTAGCAAATTCAATATTCCGAGATCCACATTGTCAAGAGTTGGCCGAAAGAAAACTTATTTCAAGCATAACCTCTCACTGACTCTCACGGACAAAGCAGTTCACAAACGCAACGGCCTTCATTTAATGACAGAACGCCGGCGTTTGCATAGAGATGTTGGTGCTAACAGACCAGCAACGCCGAGGGGTAATAAAAGCAGAAATCAATATGGCATGTACTACGAATGTATCCGTTACGACAGTGCAGCGAAATTTGACGAAGACCGACTCGAGTGCCTTTGCAAATTGCATGTCATTTGCCACGGCGCCTCTGCTGGGCCCCTGATCAGATTAATTGGACTCTAGACGACTGAAAAGTCATGACTTGGTCAGATAAATCCAGATTTCATTAGGTAAAATCTGATGCAAATACTATGAAACCATCGACCTAAGGTGTCAACAAGGCACTGTGCAAGCTGCTGGTGACTCTATAATGGATGTGCGGTATTTACAAGGAATGGATTGGGTGCGCTGATTCAACTACGCCAATCACTGATTGAAAATGGTTATATTCAGCGACTTGGAAACATTTGCAGCCATTCATGATCCCAAACAAAGATTGATTGTTATGGACGATAAAGTACCATGACACAGGGGCACAACTGTTCGTTCGTGGCCTAAACTCCACGATGTCATTGACCAAGTTAAATTCTTGGCTATCCGGGAGACGCCGCGTTGTGGGTCACTTAGCCAAGAATTAATAGAATCGAGCCGCGAACAGAATGTAAGCTGGTTGTGGCTTCATAGTTGTGTGTGCTGCTTTTACATGAAATGGACTGATTACCTTACTACCTCTGGTGCAACTGATCCGATCATGGATTAGAAATTATGTTCAGCTACTTGGAGACCATTTGCAGCCATATACCCAAACAACGATAGAATTTTTGTGAATGACATGGCGTCGTTACAACGGGCCGCAGTTGTTTGCGATTGGTATGAACATTCTGGACAATTAGCGAATGATCTAGCCGTCCAGAACGTACGCAATTATTACCATTAAACATTTATGGAACACAATCAAGACTCAATTCCTGCGCAAAATCCTGCATCGGCAACACTTTCGCAATTATGGACGGCTGCAGAGGCAACATTGCTCAATATTTCTGGAGACTTCCAATGACCAATTCATGCCAAGTCGATTTCCTGCACTTCGCCGAACAAAAAGAAGACAGATACTATGTAAAGAAGTATTCCATGACTTTTGACAACCTCTTAATGAAATCTGTTCATAAAAAATGCATCGTAAATCATGTAATAATAATATCATATTCAATTTTTTGAATATATGGCGGTTTAGGAGTAATTTTGCGAGAATTGTAAATTGAAAATATTTTCTGTATAAGAATTTTTTTTTTATTTTATGATTTTTTCTCGTATATACAAAGGACAATAGAAACACTGGAGCTAGTATCATTTTCGGCAAAAGCTCTGTATTTTCCAAAATTGCAAAAGATTAACATTTCGAAACGATATTGAAGATAGAGATTTATTAACCCATATTTCTTTCGACATTACTGGCAAACTACTAAAATTTGCAAAAAAATGTGTGCATGACGTTAATGACAGGACTTATTGTGGAGAACAATTTCATTTGACTAAAAACTTTATATCTTACATTGCAGTTGTAGTAAGACGCCAAAAAAGTTCGAAATTGGGTAATTTTTCAAAAATTCAAAGTTAACTTGAAAATCGGACTACGTCATCCTCACAAGTATATTTCGATGTATTTTTACAAAACTTTTCAGCAAACAATTTACTTTGAAAAAACTTGGAAAATTTCACAGGGAGTCATCACGTAAAATACCCCCGCCATTTAAAAACTTTTTTTTCAAAATTGCAGAGCTTCAAGTCGAGCTAGACTGACGGGGAAAATGTGGAAAAAATAATTTTAATAGTTGAGGCGATAGTGTTGTTTACAACAGGACGGACAGTCGTTTTGAAGAAAAAACACCTTTCCGATTTCAGGAAACCCCAAAACGTGTATATCCGTTGTAATCTCGAAATCGATTTTTTCACAGCATTACATAACTTTCCCTATACTACGTTTATTACTCCGTATATACGTACGTATACCAGAAAGTAAAAAATATTAGTTTTTTTTAAATCGAGGAGTTAAAGTATTCGATTTTTGCAATATTCGGAATTGCGAATTCGAATTTCCCGCCCACGTTTGACTAGATATCACGTCGCAATGCAAAAATTGCAACACTGCCATACGGCAGTTTAAATTTCTTAGAATTCTTCGCATTGTTGACCGATAAGGATGAGTCGATGTGGCCCTATGCATTTAACCGTTATTTTACAGTGCGCCAGGAAAGTCTCTCGACAGTGGCATCTTGCTGGTGGGAATGCTAGAAAAGAATCATCAGAAATTATGTTGGTAGAACGAGCAGCAGCCTGTATTTCCTTTAACATAATTAATAATGTACAAAAGCATCAATATATAATATGTGATTGATTAAAGGCGACAGATTTATAACCGTATACATACACATTCACGGTGCTATATATTGGATTGTTTTCAGCTGTGCATTTTTAATGTACATATTTATTTTTCATTTTAAAATGTTAATCAGTTATTATTATCAAATATAATTATTCAAAAGTTAAAAGCTCTCTTTAATGCAATGGCGACAAGTTGTGTGGAATTATCCTCGCTTGTCTGTATGACGTACTATGAATACCGTTACAGTTGAGATTTATTAATATTTATTTCTTTTGTACAAGTAAGAAATGACCACAGTTCATGACCATTAAATAATTATAATATATGCATCAGAGGAACTTCGTTTGATTTAGTTTGGACTGTTTCAAGTGATAGCTGATGTGATAGTAGGGAAGAAATTGCATTATTATATTATGTAACCGTTTTCAATAATGCGAGTAGATGTTATGTTGTATTAGCACCACTAGTTCAAAATTATGGTACTATTGGATGCAAATAATCATTTGTAACTTGTAACTTACTTCATAAGATCCTTCTTTCCTACTGCTGCTTCTGCTTGTCTTCTAATGTTTGAAAGTTCTTTTAGCTTTTTGTGTAACATTTTTAATTTCTTATTGATAAATTCTTTCAGTGGAGCCATTTCCCTTTTATCCAATTTCATTGCGATTTCACTTTGAAATTCATCCAATGCTTCGTGCCATATCGCTTCCTGGCAAACAATAAAACGTTTTGTAATATCCCAATTAATATACTAATATTATTTGCGTTTTTTAAAGAAATGTGTTACGGATGCAATCAGTTAAACTACTTTATTTCTACTTTAGTCAAGAAACTGTTCTAGCTGGTAACTTACTTGTTCAGTGAGTTTTTTTACAGCTTCATGTAACGCAAGAGACAAATGCTCTAGGGCATTTTCGAACTGTTCATGTGATACTTTCCTTTTGACTACCGTTGCATCGGCTTTATCGTGTAGCGCCTCATCCATTTCTTCCCTATCTGCTTTAGAATTTTCCAAGGACTCCACTTGCATTGTCAATGACTAGGAGAGACAGATAATGCCCACTAAAATTAAAAGTCAGGATGAAAGCGTATGCTTCCACAGCCGGAGTCAATGTACGAGTCCGCACACATGTCTGCCCAGGAGACGACACGTCCTAGGCACAATCATATTCCGACCTTCTTCAGGGCTCACATTGCGCCCCGAGGGAGGTTGTAAGGCGAAACGGTGTCCTCTGTGTCTAGGACGCGGCGTCTCTCGGGCAGACAAGTAAATAAAGTATATAAGCTACATCCCATGAAATATCAATAACACAATTCTTTGAGAAAGAAAATATAGTGAAGTATGTCAATAAAGGATAATATAGAAAAGAAAATATAGCAGTACAAGAGAGACAACTGTTCTGATAAAACAGTAATTATTGGATTGCCTATTTAAGTATAATTCGACTTAAAAAGCAATCTGCTGAAAAATTCAAGCAAGATATATCGTTGTCGAAACATTTGTGTTAAGGGTGTATTAAAGCGGTGAAAACCCTATTCAATTTCACTGAAATGTTTCGAGAAATTAGAGGTTAAAGGTCACAAACCTTTTATTTTGCAATTGTCTTGCTTTCTATGCAATGCATCAATTAATTTTATTTAAAGAATACCAGAGTATAAAATAATCTACAAAACATACACAACTTTTGTATGAATAACAGTTATTAAAGTAGGACAACCGTACCAGTGTCGGAAAAGCCCTTATTTAAAGAACAGTTAAAACATTTTTGCACAAAAAAATCTTTTGAAATTCGCCCCAATGAATGTTGAATGAGTGTTGAAGCCAGAGGCTTCCAAGCATCTAATTTCATTTCCTGAAAAGAATGTTCATTCTTTGGAATTTTTTATCCATTCATTTGGTGAGAGCTGTTCATTGACAATCATAAGTAGTCATTCATTGAAATTAAGGGACTAAGGTTACACCCACACCACTAAATATTTTCACATATATCTCATTTTCTATGCGTTGTAGTTTTTTTTTCGTTACGTGTTTTCCGCAACACCTCTCTTTAGCCCATTTTTAACATTGAGCGTCTATACATTGGAACAATCCTCCGTTAAGGAATTTGTCTTTTGTCTCGTAACGTCGCAGTTAGTCGTGGCCTTTAATCAATTCGACCAGTAACTTTGCGCCGTCAGTAACAGGTATTCTCAGACGGTGACCCATCCGGGAATCCGTGGTGCCTCTAATTGCATAACTTCCGTGACTTTACGGAGCGTAGTTATGCAAAGAAAGAAGAGTCGAAAACCAGCCACATTATCTTGTAAAACTCCTGGACAACGGTGATCACATCAGATGATAACACCACCCCCTAGATATCAGTCATAAATTCACAATTGCATAAATCTCGTACAAACTTAAAAACGAAGATGACATGCTATGTAATTATTGCAACAATCATTACAAATTTGTCATTGCTTAATGTTAAAAATTTGACTTGTAACAGAGAAGTGCTGTCACAGGACAACGTCTCATGTTCATTTTATTTGTAAGTTATCCACCCAATGTTCATGAAAAGAATTAATTATTAATAAACAGTTCGTTTAAAAAATATAAACAAAACTGTAATCGATACTGAACGTAACGCCTCATTGAAAGGCGAAGGGAACGTTTTTTTCGACAGGCACAGCGATCTAGGGTCATCAGATGTTCTATTCTAAAGTACAAGGAGTGATTGGAAAGTTATTCTCTTTTGTATTCTCTCTTTTTTCACCCGTCATACGCACGTTCTCTTTTATTTATGTATAGAGATAACGTATGTACTATTTTTCGACCTTGAGAATCTGAGAGCTGAACTGAAAACAGCGGCCAATCAAAACTTTTACAAACCCACATTGCAAGGACTTTTCTATGCTATTCACCTACTGCTTGTTAAGCATTATTTCTGAGCAACATATAGGGAAACGTACTTCCAGTAGATTATTCTTTTGATCTGCATCTTGCATCAATTTAGCAGATGTATTAGATAACATTTCCAGGTCACAATTTATTTGGTCAAATTTCTTGTACAGTTCATCGAGTCCAACATAATCCTGTAAATAACCATAAGCTGTAGAGTGTTCAAAGTTAAAATGCTACTTTCTTTTACTTAAAAATGCAATAACAGTTCTGCTTACTTGTTGTGTACCTCCTCCCCCGATGTTCACTCGTTCTGTGAGAATACCAAGTCCGCTTTCGATGTCATTGGCTTGCTCCTGAATGTTATCAATCTGATTCGTCAGTGATGATTGCAAGTTGTTTATTTGATCAGTTAATTCTTGGAATTTACTTTCCAACATTTTGTCTTTCTTATCCTCAGGTTCAGTGTCTTCCACTTGTTGAATTTCTGAAGGGAGGGATAGGATTTCGAAAATGTTAGAAAATATTTGGAAAGCATTTAGCATTTCATGTTCAGACAAGGATTAACGTGTAATTCGTGTTAAAATGACCATATTTTAAGAATATTACAATACTATATTATTTGATAATTAATATTAACTATTTTTCTATTTATTTGCATTTGTTTACCAACACTACTAGTGTTTCTGTGTTGTAAAGTGTACATGCCAAACCAACCGTCCTTTGACGTTTTAAGGCAGCGCTGGCAACAAAGCGCTTTAGCTTTGGCGTAAGCCGCCGCTGCCGCCTGGGCTGCTGCCGGGGCTGCCGCCGGACCTGCCGCAGGCGTCGCCGCCGCCACCGCCGCCTCCGCCGCCGCCTGCGCCGCTGGGGTGGCATATTATTAATTAACTTTTAATTATTTTACTTCTCGCATACTTCTTACGCATAATATTGTAAGGCTAAATTACGCATCGGATATGTTCGTGAATACAGTTTGATCTTCCATATTTTTTGTCTGTGTTGCGAGGAATGTATTTGCTTTCTCAATGTATCGATTTATTTTCTTTGAAGCAATCCGCAAACCTTAATTAAAATTAGCTCGATTAGGTTTTCTTTAAACAAATACCATTTAAATGTAATATGAAAGAAACATTGCTAGCTTTAAGGAAGTTGGAATGCTACAATGGCACTCCGCCCCGCGAATTCTCTGAATCTCATTGTAGACACAAGCTGTAAGAAACGTAGTTATAATTGTCGAATCTGTGTTGATATTTGCTTGAAAATATTTAGTTTCCGGGGTAAGACCTCCGCGCGTGTCGGTCCCCGAGAAAAGCGTTCTACAGCTGCTAGTGAGATTATTGTGTTATCGACGCTGGTAGTATTAGTGGAAGTGTTTCACTACTAAAACCAGGTGGAAGAATTACTAGTTATTTAATTTATTTATAAAAGTGTGTGTAATTATCTATCAACACCATTTGAGTGTAACGAGTAAAAACGGCTGCCCCGGCACGGGGCAACATATAAAAATAACAATGGATGTAACAGATGGAAAGAAACTTTAGCTTCCCACACGAGCTCAGTGGAAAACAACATGTTCGCGTATCAAAATGGTCAGTTGTTGCCGCAACATCATGCTGGATGCACACCGCTAACTTGCCACAGCGCTGTATATTGCAAAACATAGTGAAAATATAGCAGCAAGGTTAAATGCAACCAGAAGCAGCTCAACTGCAGCAAATACATTATGGTCCAAGGTATATACATCGTAAAAGGAAACAGTGATAATAGTGAATTGTTGAGTAATAAAGAACAGACTATAAGGTTAATGAAACGCTATACTACAATGTAGCTGTAACGAACTGATTCGAATCCTTACAAAACTTAGATAAGAATTATAATGAATTATAACTGAATTCAAGACATTAAAACTTCCCCCAATTATTATTCAAAATTACAATAAAAGATGTGATGAATTCCTAAACAATAAACTGCTCGAAGAGGATTTAGTGAAAAATGAAATTGAAGTCACATATAGTAACAAGTTTAAAGTGCAATTTGGCAACATCAAAGAATTTAGGAGAAAATTTTGGGAAAATAATGAGATAAGAGTTCTACTCCTCCTGCAAAAGCGTGTGAAGTAATAATAAAAGATGTTCTTGAGTGTCTAGACGACAGTGATATTAAAAAATTACTCAATGATAAAGTCCTGTAGTACAAGTAGTCAGACTATGGTAAAAAGAGAAAACCCCTCCAGATAGTTACTGTAGATGTAGAGAATAGTTCTGTCGGTAGCTGAACTCTAAAACTAAATAAGTTGGGCCACTGCATTGTTAAGAGTCTTCATTACATAATTATTTTGCCAAAAGCAAAAATATGACAGAGCAACAAAAAAGATGTACCAAGTTTTCAAGAGGTTGCCAATAACAATTAACAATTGACGCAGTAATTCTTAAGGAAATTAAACAAAACGAAAGAAACCTTTACATAGTCTATATAGACTACAAGAACGCTTTGGACAGTATTCAACACTCATGGCTTTTTGAAATTTTTGATCTTTATAAAATAAATCCGGAAACCCGAAACTTTCTTCAGACCACAATCACAACTTGGAATATCGAGATGCATTTGAGGAAAATACCACCCCAAACATGCAGATAATTTGCTTAAATATCGCAGTACTTACATTTATGATGGGTTTCCGCAGGGTAGCAGTGAAATTCCCTTCCAAAGCACAGACTGAAAAATCTTCATCGCAGGTGGGAGAACTGATCCCCGTAATAATAATTATTTCTTGTGTTAAATTCCATATGCAATGTCTGTCTCCCACATTTCCTTTTCAACTTTGACAGCGTGGCTAATGGCTGATTTCCAGTTCTTGTGACTAATATGAGACAATGCCAAACCAAACAGGGTTTGAACATCATGTAATTTGTATGTTGTGTTCCCAAATCTTCCTTAACCACTTCAAGAATGTTATTTAATGTTGGGAGCTCGTTCCATCCCAAAAAAAATTTGTGGACGTGAATGCGAATGTCAGAATTAACAAATTCATCGCACTCGCCCTGCACCGGTTTTGCTATACTTCTCTTCTCATGTGGAGAAGTTACCCCTCCATTGACTCTAATTCACTTCGCAATTTTCTAACACTTCCGAAACCTGTCAATTCAGCAGTCATTTCTTCCACCTGATGGACAGCTATTGTCGGATTTTTAGCCGCTAATGATTCAAATACATGCAAAACCACCTTCTTACCACTTCTGAAGGATTTTCTCTGCGAAGTTTCAAACCGGACGTACCGAGAACTGCTTCACTCAATGTGATCGACGAGGTAACAGAAATCAACGCAATGAGCAGTAACCACCTTGCACTAACCAAATAAAAACAGCACTCTTTTAGAACCTTCTCATTCAACGAACGAAACTGCAACTGGTCAAAGTCGGCAGGAGTGGCGCCGACGGCCTGGCGATCGAACGTTATCTCAAAGAGGTCCGTCGGCAACTAAACTGCAGTTAAGGTCACGCTCGATTTCTGATTTCACGTGAAGACAGAGGAGTACATTATTTCGACTTTGTGTAGAATCAGGAAATAATTCAAGTTTGAAATTTCCCAACTCCTGTAGCGCACGACGCGTAGAAGGTGCGTGTGGTGTCGTCAGCCAATGAGAACAAGCGTCGATCATGTGCATTTGTTTACCTTCCCAGTAAAGCGAGTAGACCTAAATAAGAAATTTTCAAAAATATCTGAGAAGAAATATCTAACTTGAACAATAATAATACGTTCTGTAAGAATAAGAAAATAATTGTTACAGGGGACGTAAATAATAAAAATAAAGGAATTGCAAAATGACAACAGGTCGTCAACTTTTGTAGTTCGCACAGCGAAATAATTTATTAATTCATTACCCTGCTGCATCCACGCGGTATCCATTTGACAATAAATGCGCCTCAGACGTTCTTGATACAAATCTAACCACAAACATGAATTCTTACAAGCTAGAAAGGCCATTCCTGAAGACTAGTTCGGTTTTAGAGCAAATCACTTAACTGAACACCAAATTGTAAGCCTTGTTCGCAAATGACATTGTCATCCTCTAACAATATAAATCAAATATCGTTGTGAAATACCTAGAAAATGATGCAATTACTTAACTAAATGAACTGATAAATTAATAATTAATATAAATCCGAACAAATAACAAGCTAAAATTGTCTCGCTTAAAATATATTTATAACCCCCCCAGTTTTAACAATCAGTAACAATCCGGTTCCCTGGCTAAACCAACCTGTCAAATACGAACGTAGGAGATTAACATGGAAGGACCTGAGATTATATTCAATATATGTTTTTAGCTCAATTATATATTATTGTTTTATTTGCAAATACGAAAAGTAAGCTCAAGTAAGTGTATAACCCGACTAAGCGAGGTGCAGGGCTGAGGAGAGACCGGCGCATCTGAGAACTAGCAACGGCAACAATTGCGTCGCGCGTCAGCGCCGGTATAGTCAGATGCATTCACGTTCTTGTTCCTAGTTCAAAGTGTTGAAAGATTTTTGCAAAACATGGTACGTAATGCTAATTAATTAGCCAGATTAGTTTATCTTCAGATAATTTTTGATACAAACTTTACGTTAATAACACAGAAAGCTTTTGATAACTCATTAACGATTTGATCACTCACTAACGATTTGAAGCGCATACAATATTTTTTGGGAATCTTGAAGTTCAAGAAGAAATTCCTGCAGTTTTTCTTTATATCGAATAATGCCATGTACTCGTGTTCTAGAATTTGTTGTGAAGTGACTAGAATATATGGTGACTTTTAGATATTCAAAATACTTCCACTCTTCATGTCTTTATCAATATTTATTAATATAATTATTCATCGCGTCGGCATCTCCCTGTGATTTTAAATAGACTGTCACGAGTATTGTTGAACATAAGATGGCATTACAAGAGGGTCATTTATGCGTCTTCGGGCCTTGGTCTACATCGGTGCTTCGGTTTTTAGTTGCACTGAGTGTACCAATAGCTCTCTCTTTCTCTCCGAAACAAAACAATGCAAAGCCGGGGACAAAATGTCACAAAAGAGACAGAATTGGAAAAGGGTAAGAAATGAACAAAATGAGGAAAGGAGAAAATTAGACAATGGGGATAATAGGACAAAAAGGCTCAAGGGCAAATTGTGACAAGGGGACAAAATGGGACAAGAGGACAAAATGTGACAAGTGACAATTGGTATGGAGGCAAAATGGAACAAGGGACAAAATGTGACAATGTGACATGAGGATTAAATGGAGCAAGGGGACAAAATGGGTCAATGGAAAAAAAAGAATCACAGGGACAAAGTGGAACAAGGGGACAAAACGGGAGAAGGCAAAAGAACAAATGGGTCTAATGGGACAAAAGGAGCAAATAGGACATGGGGACAAAAGGGACCAATAAGATAAAAAGAACAAGGGGGAAAAGGGATATATTTATTCTAGTATTTATGAGCACTGGTAAAATCTAAACCCGAAAATATGTTTAATAGACTCTCGAGCATTTTTGCGACCGTTGCTATGGACGTGCTCTTAAATCATTGTTTATATGGTTGGTTGCTAAGGAGCTAAGCGCGTGTTTACCGACGTAAATAACAAAAATAATATTTTAGTGTGTTTTAATAAAGTTAGAAAACTATTACAATCATCGAACATATTTATCCGCATCAACATCAGCAACAAGACTTCAATTTAGGAAATGGTAATACTGTTTGCTAATAATCTCATTTTTTCACAAGATTTAACTCACTTCAAATCCCTCCATAGCTTTCTTTACATCATATCTTAAGTGATCACATCCTTGGCATTGCATCCATACAGGCGAACCATAAAGTCTGTCGAAAAGGCAAGGTCAGAGTTCCTCTCGTCTGTGATCTGAAAATGTTTACCCGTGTACACCCTTTTCTAGATTGGGAGGGGCGGGAGAGGCGAAGGAGAGGGGAGTCAGGGGACGTTGCCTACGCCCGCAAGGGAGATTCCCAGGCGGGCAAGTGCTCGTGCGGGTGCAGTTTGATGCGCCTGGTGAGACGCCTATTAAATAATAACTCCCGAAATGCCTAAAGGACCGAACGGGTAGGAAATAAATTAAAGATAAAATATTCTCGTTAGAATAAATCAAGAAACTTTCTCAGTTGCCATGCGCATGGAGCGATTTATTCCTTCTGTGCAGTTATGAGAGAGTTCTAATGTGTAAATTGTATTTTGACTTTATTTGTGTTGTGAGAGATAAAAAGGATTGTCACATCTACTGTGCTAATAATGTCTGGGAACGTACATGTCTAGTTCCATAGGTCCAACGTCTGGTTCCATGCTCAGTTTTAACCTAACCTAACTTAATTTGTTACCATAGATGCGATGTTCAGCTGTTTGATCATCAATTTTTGCAGCGTCCGGGAGGAATATTTTCATCACGATTACGTGCAGAAAATGAAATGACCGTGTAAAATGCTAGGAATCATTTATCCATTTTCGATACCGAAACAGTATCGCGAAGAAATAAACGCCCCTTTTCTCTCCATTTTCTGTACAGAAAAAGGACAAAAAAGAGGACAGAATAAAATCTGATTTAGATTCGAGGTATAAGAATTCAATGCCTGCTTTCGAAGAATAATTGCAATCCACAATTTAAATATAATTTCTGAAATAGTGATAGGAGGATGCGCTAGAAGGTTACTTTGAAGCAAATAAGTATTGTATTATTTATTTTTCTTGTTACCTTGTTTCGCTGATAAATCCTTTACTATTTGTTGTGTTTCTAGAAATTGTCTTTTCATTTGTTCAATTTCATTTCTAAGAGAAGTGATTTCTTCATTGGGTACTTTCTCATTCAGTGAAGCATCTACTGCATCGGTCTCCAATACAGTATTTTTTACTTCTTCATTCTCTGAGCTGAAGTGAGATAAACACAAATTTCAACTATTGCTCTTGTAAGTGGCAGTTGAACGAATAAAAATCATGTTTTTAATGTCATTTTTGGCGTACACAAGTTCATCAGGGACGTCGAGTTGCTCCTCATTGTCCTCTTCAGAACTGAAATGCAAGGTTTGAATATTAGTTAAATGAATTACAATGTAGTTAACCAGTTAAAAAAATTAAGTTTTTTAATGTCATTTTTGGCGTACACAAGTTCATCGGGGACGTCGAGTTGCTTCTCATTGTCTTCATCTTCAGAACTGAAATGCAAGATGTGAATATTAGTTAAATGAATTCAAATACTTAAGAGCCAATGAAATTCGTTTACTTAATGCAACCTTTTTGGAAGAAAAATAATTATTAGCTTTTCAATGTCACAACATCCATTTTATGGCATGCAGTATGACATCTAGGTAAACAAAATTGGAGTACCTGTGAGTTGAAAATAACTGTCTTTTACTTTTTCGCAAACTATATACGTATAGAGACAGTTATGTCGTGCTGCAGCAAAGTACAGTGATTTTTCAACGGACAAATTGTTATAGTAGGTTTATGACTCCGGAAAAGCAGGTAATTTTTGTTTCCACAAGTATATGAGGTAAATTACGTTTAACACATGTAGTAAAAATGCATGTATTGTGCGTCCTCTCTTTGCAAAAAATTGTTTACGCCAAACTTCTGGCTGCCAAAAATTTGTTTACGGTGATCAGCGCTAGCGGCTAAAGCGAAAGAATTTTCACCACAATTGATATTTTCGGATCGATCAGGCTGAGTTGCAGCCCCTTGAATTTTAAACAAATACTTTAATTTTCTGGAGTACCTTACAAGAAGCCACAATATTTGCAAATTTTCTCAAAAATGTTTCAATATTTTTCTCAAATATTACAAAGTACACTTATAACTAGTAGTACTAAAACTACACGTACTTTCTCCCATGTATTTTTACGCAAAATTATGCGAATAGTACAAACATTTTCGATAAATTGTACGTGATCTTATTTCAAAATCTGTCGTTAAGGAAAATATTTTATTCGGCGGAACGTGGGCGGAGCAGGGGCGGAGCGGGGCCGGGGCGGGGGCGGAGCGGCAGCAGAGGGGCGGCGGAGCGATGGAGGAACGGGGCGAAGTGGGGCGGGGCGGAGCGGGTTGCGAAAAGGCGGTACTCTGCCAATTAGCGGATGTAAATGAGACAAAATTGAGGGAGGGGTCTATTTCTAGTTCTCACAGTTCACACACTGTTTCAATCTTTTTCTTTACAGACAGAATAAGAAAATGGGCAGTGTACTACATAATTTTAATATCAAAATATTAATAAGGATTCTCATACTTATTTTTACCTACCCATTTTCTTCGTCCTCTACATCCTCGCTTTCGTTCACTTCAACTTCTTCCATGATGGATACTTCTTAATCTACACTATTACCCTTGTTTCCGCAAATATCGTCTGAAACCAGTAGGGCCACAGCAATGTTTTTCTTAAACGTTGAGCATACGGGTTACCTTAAGAGGATAAAATGATAATGTCATCAATTTGTTCACCATACCAACGCACAAAACATAATCTCTAAATATACATATGTCATTTTCGCAGTCATACAGTAAAAAAATAAAAAGAAACAAATATTTTCAATGTAAGCAATACAAATACGCTTATTCAAAAATTAATGCCAACAGTTAGTGAAGAGCGTCTATGTTTAAAGAACCATATTCTTATGTCTTCACGTAAATAACCCATAGACAACGTTTGCTTCGTAGACATCGAGACATAGTAATCTATCATATGGGACAGCGGCAAATCTACGAGAGCCATGCTCCGCCAAAGACACATAATGCTTTTCTAATTATACTCAATTTAATGAAAACATTTAGTACCACATATTGATTGGATCACATCCAAATGAGTACTACCGTTATTAATAAACATCTTTTAAATATCAAGTTAACATTATTTACGTATTTTCTTCAAAACTATGTATGGGACACTTGAGAGGTTAAGAGCTTAGTAAAACATTAGCAAATGATATACAATTATCATCAGTTAATAACATAATGCGCAGAACATAAATAAAATTTATACAATAACGATATTAAGATAAATGATACAAAAAATACATATATTTCAAGTAAAGGACGAGTTCAGAATTAAATAGTTCATGATTTAATAAAATTAGTAGTACATTACTACAACGTACTTTTTTTATTCGCCGAATCAAAGTTTCTATAGGCAATGATTTCTTTAACAAAACTTATTTTTCTCCTTTCACAATTGTTGCTCTATTAGATTTTCATAATCGTATTTCAAGTAATGATTTTTCTATCATTTTTGAATAATTGACAGTTTATTACGACTTGTGTGACGTATTGGAACTAGTGATCACACTTGAGAAGCGGCTAAAACATAATGTTTGTACACGAGACAGTTTGGAATGTTCAGATCTTAACCTTGTAATGACTACCAGTTCTTTTCGAGTAAAGCTTTTGAATGCTCTTATTGACATAGAACTGGAGGCGACTACGTAGTTCACCGACCTTTGTATATTTTCGTGAGTTGTACAAGATATTTTGGATTTCATTATATAAACGATTCCACAAGTCTTTTAATGCATTAATGTATTAAACCTGTGTCTGTTGCAAAGGTTCTTCATCAAGAGAAGTATAGCATTTTGTTTGTCTTACTGAATAGGAAATAAATTTTTAACTATTACATTTAATTATTATTTCGTATGCAATACGTTCGGTTATTTTGTGTGAAATATTAAATGGTATACGCAGATTACAATGTCTACGTAGTCGACATGTAAAAAGAGTATTTAGAGAACGCATTGAAAACACGTGTAGACGTTATGTTCTTGTGTAAGGCACAACTCTGCTTATAATGGAAGCATGACAAAATGATGATATGCGCCGAAATATGTTGCAAAACTAGGACAAACCTTTCTCAAAGACGAAACAAAAAATCACTTACTCGAAACATTCTTCATAGACATCGCAATTTTCTTATTATGTAACAAAATGAAACGTAAGTAAACGTTCTTTTAAAAAACATTTTTCACTCCCACATTTAGAAAAATAATAAATGTTAATATATCATCAAAAAAATAAATATCTCTCTACTTAGAGCAAAAAAATTAAAAAATGAAGATCACAACCAGAGAAAACAGCTGTTAAACATTATACAATCGTGCTGGCGTTGCATGCAAATTTTTTTTATATCTTGACGATTTCGTGATAAAAATACAAAGTGCATTATTTTTTTAAAAATAATTTATTTATCCTTGTTCGAATATACATTTTCTTTCAAGGAGTTGAATAAACTATGATAACAATTAAAGCTTATGAGGGAAAATTTACAGAAGTAACCTCTGAACATTCTACTATAACACGTATTACTCGCGCAACGTTTCTTGAACGATGACCTTGCTTCCCCCTCTCTTGCACAATAAACAGTTCACGAAGAAAGCTCTCAGAGTGCACTAATGACAACATTCTAAACACATCTTCACTGGCGCGAAATAGAAATAATTTTCTTTTGAAGGCGAGAACTTCAATCTGTTATTTTCTCAAAAAAATCTAAATAAATGACCGAAGCAGGTAAAGATTTATCACAGAAGATACCTCGAACTCCTGAGAAAGTTAGAACGCAAATTAAAATCTAGTGGTTGATTACGTAACTAACCACTCTACCCGCATTTTTTCAATCCATCGTTCAAGAAAAGTTGTAATGCAGTAATAGATAGCAGTACGTTCCAAAGTAATAATACATTTTACTTTGGATTACGTAACTAATATCCCCACTCTACCCGCATTTCTTCAGTCCATCGTTGAAGAAAAGTTGCGCGAGTAATAGTATGTTTGCATGATTATAAATTGTAGCACATTATAATACATTTTCACAATTAATGAATATTATAGTTAATTTTTAAGAAGAAAAAATGAGATAATTATGGAGGTTGTAATAAGTTTTTAGCAAAACGTGACCGAGTAGTGTGAAAAATGTGAACTTTTTATAAAAATACCCCTACTTATCCCCGAATAATTAATGGTGAAGCAATTCTTTGGCTTTCTTCGAATAAAGCGGAAACATATTAAGGACTACAATTAGACACCAAATTAACTTGAAAAACACATATATCTGCCACAGCTCACAAAACTAATATAAACATTTTAAAATTATATCACTTTCTGAACAAAATCTCCAGGTTATCTACAGAAGCAGCATTATCTATATTTAAATACATTATTCGTCCTTCCTTAACATACGCCTGCCATATTTGAGATATGTAATTTTCAACAGTTAGATTAGGTATTTAAGAAATGTATTAAAAGCTCCTTAGTTTATTTGAAATAATCTAATTTTAGAACTGGCGTTTTTCCTTTAAGAACCTGGATTAATCTTCTCACCACAAAATTTTTCTGCAGTCTCTCTGCTTGCCGCTCTTACAATATCTTTAATCTTGGCAAATAAGTTAACCGTTTCCTTTTTGAGGGCTCTTTATATGAAGCTCCAAAATACTTTCAACATTTTCTCAAAAATGGCCGCTAATATTTTGTTTAAACTTTGTTCTCGGTTAGTATAAAGATCGCTTAAGAGAATGGTACAGGTTTCATTTTCCTTGAATCTTTGATTTTTCGAAAATTGCAAAAATTCACATTTTTGTGGGCGTCTTCCAATGGCAATATTGATGATAAAGGATGTTTTCCTAAATGAAGTATATTCTTTACAAGAGTATCTTAAAATAAGGTCAGGTATAATGTTGCGAAAATATGCGCAATTTTCTCGTAATTATGCGAGAAAAATATATTAAAATTTTAAAAACTTTTTTGTCTTACAAACGGCTCCAATTTTTTTCTTTAAAGTTTCTCTTCGTGTTATCAGAGCGAAAAATTTGCACAATAATATGGCATTGGTCCTATGTTTATTAAGAAATTTAGAAGTTTGAAACGTATTAGAATTTTTCTAACTTCTTTTACTTCTCTAATACTGAAGCTAAATAGTTCTTACATGAAGCAATATATTCCTGAATATTAGATATTAAAATCATTTCATACACATTTTATAAACATGTTTTTGCGTAATTTTGAATTATAGAGTGCAATGATCAATATATTTCGAACCTGTACTACACATTCAATATTGACGTTAGAGATTCCTTCAACGTTACGTTTTGCCCTGTTTTCGATTTTTAAATCGTATTCTAAACGTTTGTATCGAAATATGAGTGATTATCGGATTTTTATAGAATTTTATTAAGTGTACCTGCCCTTTGTTTTATCTTGCAACAATGACTGGGGGCATCTGCTCTTGGTTTGGGTATTTGGCATCGCATGGAATACCTTCGACATGCTTTTCTCTTTTAGCGAACTCAGGGTTGTCGCGTATCCTAAGATCTCGGGGTGGGAGAATGCAGTTATTTTAGTTGGTAGAAAGAGAAAACACTTATTCTCTCCTTGGGCAGTCATTTATGGCCTTAAAAACTCACGTTTAGGAAAGAAGAACCGCTTAGGAAATGTTAACGAAGGATCAACGTGTCTTCTTGGTGGAAATTTTCTTCGGCACTAATTATCTTTAAAAGTGACAGGAAATGTTTTTTAAAATATATCTGGGAATGCCAGCTTTCAGCAACTTGACAATTTGTAGATTAATCCAGCGTTTCAGAGATACGTTAAAGTCTATAAAAACCCGTAATTCTTGGAAAGTCAGGGTTTCTCGTGCCACCTAATTTGGTGCGCCGCGGGCCGGATTATCGGACCATTTTTCAAGGAGACAATTACTTCCGAAAAGCATAAAGATATTATTGAAAACGTTGTACTCTTTTACAAGAATAAGAAATGCCGGTTTCAGCAGACGATACCCCATTCGCACAGCGCACATAAATATGCTTTTTAACGGCATTTTTCAGAAAATGAATTGTTTCACAAGGTATGTGGCCATCACGTTCAAAGAATCTTCCTTCTCTGAACTTTTTTCGGTGGGGGTGTTCTTAAGAGTAAAATGTATGCTAATAAACCATTTTCCCCTCAAGATATACATGAGAAGGTCTATTTGTCAAATTGAAGAAGTTACTCATGTGTAGCAGTATCTTTACTGAAAAGAGTAAACGCCTATCTCTTGGCAAATGGTGATCAATTTGAGCATTTTCTCAAAGACAAGTTTACGTCCTTTTAAGGATATATTCTATTATTTGTCTTGTCGGTTCTTTTGAATGGAGGCAAAGGTATTCGATTGTCAAATTACCAAAACAAGATGTGTAGATATTTGTACAGAGAGATTCTGCCTCCATCTCTGTTCAAGGAACTACAGTTTCCCGTTACTTTGTGTTTTTCAATGACAATCAATACATCACTAGGAGAGACTTTTTAGTACGCCTAGACTAACATAAAAGCTGTTTTAGTCATGGTCAGCTTTAGGCAGCATGCTCTCGAGTGACTGATTCCACAAAAGATTTGTTCCTTTCTCCTAAATATAAAACCAAAAATATAGCTTGTAAAGAAGCTTTACTGTAGAATTCATTGCAAAATTAATGTAAATATTCAAATAACTAAATATTTTACACTTCATTTTCACTCTTTTAAAATTACCTGTCTAAATATGCAAACGAAGTTGCGGCAAGTTTTAATTTTCATGTAACAATGTATTATCATTTTTAAATTAAGGTATTATTGAAGTGAATAATATTTAAAAATCCATTCTATTTATTATTAGATAATGAATAGTGAAGTGTAAATAAATAAAACAAAAAGAAATTTATTCGTGAGGAATAAATAATAAATGTACATATTAATTAAAAGTCCTTTTATTTTCTTCTTTATAATACCACTATTAATGTGAAAAATGCCAACATGAAATGAAACATCGAAAACATGTGTCTAAATCTTCCGCGGTCTCAGGCAGCAGAAGTTCGAAGGCATGTTACCACTCGATTAAAGTGAATGGCTGTTCATTATATAACTACAAACATTCTGTAAAGGAACGAGATATTGAACGCCAAATATAACGTGACCTGCAAATGAACACACGTTGGGCGTAACGTAACGAATTCGTTAACACTAGTGATGTAGCTTAAGAGATAGGATTCTCGTTTCGGGGGGCACCGAGTGCGATACACAAACCTGCTTCTTTGGGTGGGAATCTCAGGTGTAGTAGTTCTGAGTCGGGGGAAAATGCAAGATTTCTACTGGTTGTATCTTCAAGGATATATCACAATTTTCGTTTTAAAGCAACTCACGAAAGTGACGGATGCGGTTTCATTCAAACAAATGAACTGGATAAAAAATACCAGGGCTGATGAATTATGTATATATGAGATGAGTTCTCCAGTGAATGTGAGAATCTGTTGAAGGTCAAGACGCGTAATTAATTGCATTTATCTCGGCCGGTGATTACGCTTATCCGACAAATGCACACCGACAAGAGTTTGGCATTCCTCAGTTGGGTGCAATCGCCTGGTAGGTGCACCATGGCGAATAAATTGGCGAGACCCCATTTTCCGTGATTGTTGAAATGTGGGTGCCTCGCTTACGCAGAGGAAGGTCACATGCCACCTACTCGCGTTGTTACGACAAATATCACGATATGATGCCGTTTAACGATACGATGCCGATATGATGCCGTCAGTAGATCTGGTTGATAGAATATCACTGACGGAAGTTTGTTAAATTACTGACTGACGTGATTCCTCTGTAGGTTGTAATCAAAATTTCTCAAAATTCTGCCTGAAACACACACTGTAAGTTATGGCCGAAAAATCTTGTCGAGAGTCTTCGACGTTTATGGCCGAAATAAATTGCCATCGCCGTGTCCGAAGCTTCTCCGAGAAAAATTAGCCCTCCTCTCCTGCGCACTCTTCTGATCACGTGATTGTCGGATTGTCCAATTTTTTGATTATGGATGTTCGAGAAATTTTGGAAGTCTAACTAAAAATGATTGGCTTAAAGGGTTCTTCCCTCGGTTGACCTGATTTTCGAATTTATTCTTGGTGAAAATTGTTTCTTTTCAACCGTTTTAATGAATATCAATATCGGGGTATCACATGTGCGCACTGCTATGTGTAATTTATTATACATCATACAAGGGATTAGGAACACTCGAAGCTTTGCTTTCGTAACACGCTCAGAATACGATAATGCGTTGCTCCACGGTGAAACCAAATATGTGCCGCTTTGACGTGGATGAGCTACTGCGCACGTAAAGTTTCTTCTCTCACAATGTGATCTAAACAGATCTGAGTCTTCTTAAGGGCGAAGATGGGAAGTTTCCAACATGGATGCGTATGCGATATTGACGACCCCCACGCTTAACAGATGGGACCCTTGCGTGGTGCGCTAATTCAAGGTTCGGGGCGGGGGATGCGCGCGTCCGCAGTGACCGAGCATTAGCGCAACTCTTTGTAGTGTGTGTGTGTGTGTGTGTATATATATATATATATATATATATATATATATATATATATATATCGGTAAACAATATTTACAATTTTTAATTCACATTTTCAGAAATGAACTTGTACATAGCACTTTTTCTGAATTTTTAAACCTCCCTTATACCATTTGCATCGGAGAAAAAGTACAATCCGACATAAAACATTTACCTCGCAGTTTTCCATGTAGTGCATATGTATGTTTTTCTAACTTTTATACTCCTTTTGTGCGTTGTAATCGCTCAAGTCCAGTTAGTATATAATGTTCGTTGTAATGGCCACAAAGTGAAAATACTTTTCCAGCTTCCAAAATGCTAGTAGGACGTAAGTTAACCAAAACGACGTGAGCATATAGTATGATTGTCGATTCTGTTTATGTCTTCTCAAGTTTGAAAATGGTGAAATCAAGAAAGATGATGCATTAAATCCGCATCCTGTTAACATTGTATATTATGAAGGACCCACACACGCTCAGGATACGGCACATGTTCGCACGTCTTATGTTGAACCGAATCTCGTACATGCTCGTACAATACTCCTCCTTCTTTGTTGTATTTTATAACAGCGGCTGTTTGACTGCGCGTCCTAGCCTCTCCCTTTGTGTTTGGGCAAGGGCGCGTCACTCCCTACCCTCTAAAATGACATTACTCGCGCCAAGGATGCCGGCACACCCCTTCACGAAACGAGTGACGAGCATCATCCCGATGAGAATCGGGAGACCACAGGTATGCTGAATTGCGATCAAATATTGATTGGGTTTACCCGGTCGTGTATGGAAACAGGCCGAACTTCCACTTCTCCCGAGCGTGTGTAAACAATGCAGATAGTCATTTAAAGGGTTTGAATTAAATTAGATCTACTATCATTTACACATAAAAGTATATTGATACTACAAAAAAATTTGTCACAACAATCTCAAGAACGGATCCAACAGGAGGAAAACGTGTTCTCCGTCTGGCCTTGCCGGTATACGCCTTCCAATTGATCCCACTTAAGATTCCCCCCTGATCTCTGACTATATTTTCAGAGACCATTGGAGAATGAGATTTACAAGGATAAGCAATCTAACGTACGACTCAAGATTGAGAATGAGGGCATAATGACAGGGTTGCCATCTGTCCCCCTCCTTTTTTTAAATTTACATGAAATGTCCTCCTTTTTGTCCTGTTGAATTGAAACAAATACTGGCATAATTTTAAAGTAATTTAATTCATTAAAGGGACTTCATGTCTTTATTATCTACATTTTTACACAAATAAATGGTCTGCATAATGTATCATAAGGTTTATTGTGATATAAAACTTATCTATGCTTATTGTTTGGTGGATAATGAAGGTGAGTGCGGGGGTGAAGGTACCCCATCGGACGCTTTAATTTTTAATGAAATAAAGTCTAATATGTTTTTTAAAGACTATTAATGGTTTGGAATTGTTATGCACATTGTCCGTGGAGTCGCACCGTGGAGTATAAAAATGAAAAATATCCTCTTTTTTAAGTAAAATGTCATCCATTGGGAATTTTTTTTTCTGGTAACCCTGATGAGGAACGAAGGATCGCTCGCAGTCTGCAGCCCATTGTACAGAGTGAGTGCTGCTTTGGCATTTGCTTGAAGTGATCGGAGAAACAATGGAAGTCATCGATCACAGTAGTTGATATTTCAACTCGAATCTGATAGGAGCCAAAAAAGTGAGCTGTTTATTAATGGGCTAATATTTTGTTATTGGACGTTTACAAAATATAAATATATGTAAAAATCACATGTTAAGATTTGGTAGAAAAATCACTTCTTCAATACGCCTTCCCCCGGGCAGTTCCTGAATACCCCTAAATATTTTCTATCAAATAATTCACTCTGCGTGGCACAGCACAAATCGTATGTTTAAAATCCATTAAATGGTTATCAAAAAATAATTTACGACATAAGTATCGCAAGACATTACAATACGAGATGGGAGAATTATCAAACGCAGCATTTAAGCCGCATATATTTAAAGTCAGTTATGGAACATTGACAGTGCTCTTGGCTGTTCGGGTTGCCGGGTTCGGGACGCCGCCGGAAAGCTGTGAAGCCAGCGTTTCCACCATCTTGTAGTGGTCTTTCTTAGGGCTGGGCTGAATGCGAACCTGCGTCACCCGGAATAGTGCCCTTGCGAGACTCAGGCCGCGGAAGCCTACGACTTCATCGTAGAACGTTAGACGCACTTCCAAAAATTCACGTTGTCTATAATTTTATTTAAATTTGACTTTTTAAACCTTAAAATTATTATAAAAACTGTGAATAAGAATACAAATTTTATCTTCCTTTAAATATACGACTTATAAAACAAAATTAGAAATTAATGTTTATCATAGGAAACATTAAAGTTCATTACGTTCTATTCGAAATTCAATTTTCTGCTGAGATACATCGTTAAAATGACAAAATGGTAAAAAGACATTTGTTGAAGATTTATCGCCATAGTATGAAAAAAATTCTACATAGTTTTGAAAGTATTATCATAATATCCCTAATTGGTCTTCGGCCTCATTCACTTATTACGCTTCATTTTTTACAGATTATTTCTATCTTGATGAAATTTTGTATCTGACTTTCAAAAGAAAAGAAAAGTTATTGCCTATTTTAGAAAAATGCTTTTCGCCATCTCTCTGCCTGACTCTTCAAAGTTCGATTGAACTGTGCACTCTCAGGTTGTCACGAATAACTCAAAACCTGTGCGGAAATTACTCCAAATTATTTGTTTCTAAAAACACGCATAAAATCATTATCAAATAACGTTTTGATTCATTTCAATTAGAATTTAGTAATTGATGGGTGAACTTGGTACTGGAAATTGGCAAAATGAACCTCTTCATAGCTACCAATAGCAACCAATAGTGTATGTTAGGAATGCTGATCGTAGCGAACACAATCATGTAGTGCTAGGCAGGACTGGGGTCGATGACGCAAGGCAGAGCTGAAAACGACGAGAATACACAGTAAATACAGTTTCTTTTCTCTATCAGGAGGCTTGTGAGAAATAAGTATACCGGCAACGTCGGGAACATCAGTAAGACGTCTGTTCTGTTGCAGATCATTTTTTGTTTTGTTTTTTTGTTTTGAATTGAAAAACTGCGACATAAGAAATACGATTTATAATTCCTATAAAATACATCAGAATTTTTGTGCAAATATCGTATATCATGATGAATACACTGCAGAAGGTACAGTAACGTGAATTAACTTTAGCTGATTATATTTTACTTCCTTATTTCTTGTTGGGTTTTGTTGGCTGAGAATGTCTCTTGGTATCGCCCTTATCTGCCTTCCCGGAAGTGTCTTGTACTGGTTGGCATCGCTCAGGGGAGAGCTGAACCGCTTCTAATCCTGTTCCTTGACAAGTCACAAAGTGCCCCACTCTTGTGACTCTTTGATATGGCGTTGTCGTTGTGTGACTGCCTCCACAATAACGATTGCACAGATGATCCCTGCAAATTTAAATACGAAAATAACGAAAAATGTCTAATAACATTTTTACCTGGATAAATACATAAAACATGAAAATATAGAACATGCGTCTCGCCAGACCTTTTTGGCTTTGCCCTTGTACGTTGTGATGGCAAAAACAATGTTTAACTAAAAAATCGATATTAACGACAGAGACATCGATATATTAACATCAATCTTTTGTTTTTCGAAGTTTTCTTCACATCGATATATTTTTCCAGAAACATCCATTTTCATTGTGAATTACTCAAAATTAACGATAATGACACTACCACTGTCCTCAATCATTAAACATCCCAAAACCGTTTACTATTCGCATTAATGCTCCAGGTTAGGGGATTTAATTTGGTTGTTTATTCCCTTCTATAAGTGTATTGGGGGAGAGATTAATTTATGGTTATTTTAGGGGGGTTGTTCAGAATGTTTCACTTCATTATAATTTAAAAAAATATCTATTACGTTTCTTGTCAAAAGTAAATGATTTATGGAACTGAATAAAGTAGATCAATTTCATCTGTAGGTAGCTTATATTGCGAATAATACTTCTGTCGACTTGACAGCTGGGAGTAGGGGAGAATGATGTTGCAACCTACTCCGGCGCACAGTCACTTGGTCGTTCTTGCGTCAAATCAGCTGTTGAGGCGTACACCTCTCACGAACTGTATTTGTGGTAGAAATGTAATAATGACACTAGTACTGTTATACAAATTTGTCGCAGTCCCATACACTTATCCCGCCAATAACAAGGAATTACGGATAGTTTTGCGTAACACGCAAAGTAGATGAAAAGTAAGTACAGCGAGACGCGTTTTTAGACGATACATAGTAGTATGAAAGATTTATAAGAGATACGTATCTAAAGGAGACATTCTTGGTTTGAGTACATACTTTTCACGGAACTTTCACAATTAGAATCAATTGCAGTACTTTTTAAAGTTACTGACTTTTCCTGTAATTCACGTACGTTTTCAAGGATGTGTCCAACCGAATGCATTAGCATAAAGAAAAAAAATAGAAACGTCCTTTAAGGTGGATGTACAAATACATTGTGTCATAAGTATATGAGACTTAAGTTTTATCACTATATATACAGACACCGAACCGCACAAGACGCATAACCAAACAAGTAATGGCGCTCGGCGCTCTTCAATTTTCAGTTGCTTCGCACTATGAGATTTCATTTTTTTTCTGATTGGTTAACGTAATTTCTCTCCACTGTCAACCGGGAGTTGCCAAATAGGCAGGAGTATTATTCGCAGTACGATGGGCAGAGGTAAAGAAGAAACTAATCGTTTAAAATACAAATTTTACCAACACCGAACCACATCTGACTCATGGAAACTATACTCTTGCCCAAACCATGCTACTGTAAACCCGAAGCTACAATTGCTACACTCTACTATAAAAGTTTCACGGGGGTGCCACATGTTCCCCATATGAGTGAAGTATTCACTATTTAGATTAATGAGTTATGTCTTTATATAATGAAAACAGAAGATGTAAATATATCTCAATAAAATAAAATTATTTTAGGAGGGGAAAAAGTAATGTTCTAGGGTAGGTTAAGAATCACGATTAGAGCAGACTTTGTGCACTCAAGAATCGGCTCGAAATCTTATTAATATTATTTCAAATATGTGCATCATCTCGTTTTTTCGTGTATTTAGCATCACGAAAATGTTTTGATTGACGAACTGACTAAATGGAGGTTGGGTCAGTTTGAAGCAAGCGGTGCATTTTTTAAACTTTCAGTACAGGTATATGCAGTGGTTTATTTATACACTTTTGGGTCCCGCAACGCGCCATAAAATTAATGATTAATTTAATAGCAATATTTATAAATTTATAATAATTTATTAATTATTCACGAGGTATCGGAACGTCGTTCCGTCGCCTTCCGGCTGAATGTTGTGAGATGTTGTGAGAATTATTTAAACAGCGTAAATTTCTAATTATGATTAAGATTCTATGATTGAGTTCGCATTGTGAATAAGGTCTTATAGTGCAATCGAGAAGTCATTTGACCTTCCAAAAGGGGAGCTAGAACATTTTTTTAATTTATTTTGGTATTAGTAAAATATCGTAAGTTTTCCGACTCGATATACTTTGGTTTTGGTGGCGACACAACACGAAATTTTCGTTGTTTTTTTTCGAATAAATTTGTAATGTGTGATCTTGGTGTAAAAGTGGTAAATGTAAAATTTTAAAGTCATAAAATGTTCTGCAAATTTGCTTCATAAATTATTTTTCTTAATAAAATAAGACAGCCACGAGGATCTGAAACCACTAAATTTTCCTTTTTATTCCGATTTTGCCCTCAATTATTTTTGGATTTCTGAAGAAATTATAATAAAAAGCAATTAAAAACTTATTTTTTAATAATTACTGAGATTAATATAATGGGTAGCAGAAAGGAGGAAAATCATAAAGTATAAAAGCTTAAACAAATGTCTGAAGCAAATCTTGGAGTCAGTTTGCTATATTTTTTACTGAAAGCCATCTTACAAGGATACTTTATTTCCTTTTTTTTGCATTTCCTTAACGTGATTGTATTAGAACTATACAAATTTCTCAAAATATTGTTACACATTTGCATCTAATTTTCGACATTTGAATTTAAAATTACATGGATGTATTTATACAGATTCACCTATTACAAAGTAACCAATCTAGAACAATGCTCACCTTTTTCCTATAGACGTTTTTCCTTCTACAGTCCTTGTTTTAGATTTCTGTTCATTAATCAGTGCTTCTTCCAAACGAACCAAATTTTTTGGAGGAAACCTGCGAGAAACAATTATTATGAGTGTAGAATTTTTAGAGAGCAACAAATGTAGATTAAGCAAGATTGACTTTGTTCATGTTTACATTTTTATGCTACACATAAGACCAACTAAAACTACATTTTGGTTAATCAATAATGACATTTTTTAATGAAATTACCTTTGGGGTTCAAGAACCAAGAGTCCAAGTACCAAAGGAAATGCCAAGTATTACTAAAAATCTTTGTGATTAGATAGAGTAAAATAAAAACTTACTTTTTGTGTTCTTTTCTTATCATATCCAATTCATATGTTAAGAATGGTTTCATACTTCGATGAGGAGGTAACGCTGGAGGAATAGGAACATTTCCTTCAAGTTCAGTTTTCATCACAGCATCAACATCACATGATATGCAGTTGACATCTCTGTAAAAAAATGTTTAAACTTTCAGTTAGCAATGACTCCAATGAGCAGATATATTAAAAAAATTAAATAATTAGGATTTCAAAAGGCATACTATGTACTACAACACAAATTCAGAAACTATTTCTAATGTTTGCACTTACGTAAATAGTTTCTTTTTTGTGCCTGCTGCTTCTGCTTGCTTCCTTACTTTTGCTAAATTCTTCAATCTTTCGTGTAACATTTTAAGTTTCTTATTCACGAATTCTTTCAGAGGACCCATTTCCTGCCTATCGAGTTTATTTCCAATTTCATTTTGAATTTCATCGAGAGCCTGTTGCCAAAGTGCCTCCTAAACATTCAAAGAAGGGTTTGAAATTCTCTCTCAAGAAGGATATTTAAGTACTTCAAAATAGGTTCTACATTTATTTACAAACAAATAAAAATATATCTAAAACAGTTCCATTTACTTGTTGTGTAAGCTTTGTCACAGCGTCTTCCAAACCTCTGGACAAGTCTTCTAATGCGCTATCAAATTGGTCATGAGACACTTTCCTGTTGACCGCAATTTGGTCAGCCTTGTCAAGCAATGCTTCATCTAGCTCTTCCCGATCTGCTTTGATGTTCCTCAGTGTTTCAAGTTGTACTGCAAGAGACTAAAATAATTTTTGAATTATATTAGTATCTTTACTTTTCAGTTCAATTTCTCTTAAATATATTTAAATAACCATTCGGAAACATGTTTAAATACATTTTAAATAATATTCAAAGGAATAACTTTCATGTACATTCAAATTTCTTTCATTAATTTTGCATTGAAATCGATTCTCCATTTTGGGGCAATTTCTCTACTCATAGGGCGTTTGGCATGTGTCTTTTTGAATAGATCACTTGCCTAAAACTGTGCGATTTTTAATTTGTTCCGTTTTCATTAATTTATTTTCCAGTAGTTGCCACTGAAAATTGCAAAATGTTGATAGTGGTCAGAAATGCGACTAAAAAATGGCCAATAAAATTCTTCCCACTAAATTGCTAAAGGTAACGTGTTACATTAACAAGAGGTTTCCAAATGATTATTTAAGGATAAATTAAGGGAAAGGAAGTACATTCTCTTCGTTCTAATAGTAAACACTAGAAGGCATAAACATCACATCCTGCAAGTTTTGAAGGATGTGAAACTTTTTTTTTTAAATTGTCCTTGAAGCAACCCCTATTGACTCAGTACTGTTGCTGTCTACTGTACTGCCGTCTACTGCAGCACTGATATGGTATATAACGATATAATCGTCGATAGCGTTGTCCCATTTCCTTACCCTTGTTTGTAAAAAAAGCACTGACATCACCAAATTTTTGTCACATTTGTTTTCATAATAAAAATAAAAATTACAAATTTAAGTTTTGATTATATAAATTGATTGCACAAATAAAATGTTTTATTTGCATTAAATGACTCAAAACTGTGGGTTGATTGATTAATGTTGATGTACCAGAGCACGCCAAATACTTTGTTCACTAGTCCCTTCACTTAATGGGGTGAATATTTTATCCTGGAATGTGGTGCTTATTCCTACCCCGGTAGATGGCGAGATACGGCGTGACCTACACGTCAGCTTGATGATGAAGGCATTTTCCTCAGCGCGGTACCGCCATAGACGGGACAAGCTCTAAGCTCCAGACAAATCTCCTGACATGGGTACTGCATACACGTGTGTGTGTATAAGAGGAGAGGATGGCGGGATATAAGTAGACAAACCTCGCGTGCGGTCCGTGGCCCGTTTGTTAGGGTACTGCTCTAGCATTCGCCCGGTTTTGATCGGAGGTACCACGGAAAACTAGCGATCAGAGCAGCCTCTAGAATTATGTTCCAAACTGAAGGGGAACATTTAAAGTGAAGGTAGACAGATCGGACAAATCTTTGAGATGGAAATGGCCCAACATGTGAAAAAATGTTGCAAAATTTCTCTTCTCAAGTAGATTTTTCTTCTTGATTCTATCAAATCGTTAAGTAAGAAACTACGTCCAAAAAACTTGAAACACTTTGTTATGTAATTTCTATTGATAGAATTCGCAAAAGATAATTATGTCAAAAGGACAATAATAAACCTAGAGGTGGTTCAAAAGCACATACTTTCTCACGTGTTTGGGAACGGTAACGGAATATTTAATATTGGAATTTCTATCGTATTAACACTTCAGCTATCACAAGTCCAGAGCAATTCAAACGAAGCGCCAAAGGTGCATAACTGCAATTATTTCAATACTCATTTCTTACTTCTACAAAAGAAAAAAACATGAATAAATATTAATTGTTACAGTATTTGCAGCACATTACATTAACAAGCAACGGCAATTTCACAATCTTGCCTTGATTACATCAAAGTGAGCTTCCAGATGTGATAAATAGCTCACTCGATTCATCTCGAAAAGACAAATAGTTTGGTACTATTTTCAAGTACTCATGCATGGAAACTAGTACTTACTTTCTTTTTATTGATTGAAAAGTGTTACTTTGCGGTGCGTAGTAACCACAAAAATGTCGTAATATAACACTGGTAGGACATGAATCTACATAGAAGAGTTCACCTTCCATATTAAGAATAATCCCAAGTGTGCATAGTTGTACATTTCCATTAATTCGTATTTAAAAAATATTTAGTTCGTTCAATATTTATTGCCTCTCCCCTTATAACGTCTGCGAAGTAGCAGTTTGAAATATGTGTCGATGTCTGTGTGAAAAACACTATAGTACAGTTTGCAGCCACCAAATGGTGTTGCTGCTTTACTTAGGTAGCTCATTGCAGGAGCAAATGTTTTGGCTTGCGTGAGCTGGTGGACATCGAAAATATGTGTAAGCAGACAAGTATGAGCAAAAGTGAACAGTGGTTTTTCTCTGGAGGAAAGAATCAACTGCTTCTGACACCCACAAGACGTTAGTAACCATATATGGGGAGTCCTGATAATCCGTCTTTCGTTGGGTATAGAGACGGCAGGGACTGTACTGAAAACAGCAAAAGAACCTGTCAGCACAGCAAAAACAATGTCCAACACGTCAATGACTTGATAATGACAAACAGACGAATCACGTTTGATGAATTAGAGAAGGCAGCAGGTCAACATGGGGACCCTCCACACAATCATTCATGAGGATTTGAAGATGGTGCGTGCACAATGGGTGTACCATTCCCTCGCCATTCCGCGGATACAGATGCATGTGGAGATGTGCCAACAGGCGGTTAAATAGAACAGTGCAGATCAAAGGAAATCATTTGGACGTCTGGTCGCCGTCGACGAGTCATGTTTTTTCCACCAGACCCCAGATCCTCTACATTTTCTTGTTCCTAACGACCACGCTCTATTTGACGGAATGAAGAAGGTCGGGGGTAAGAAGTTCACCTCCAATGATGAACTTCACGCAGTTGTTCAACAATGGCGCCGGCATACATTCAAAGAATGTCTTGTTACGCAAATACGGAAGCTACCTGAATGACGGTAAAACTTCATAGACATTGGTGAAGAATACCATTAATATAATCTGTATTCGTTCAGATTATACAAGTAAATTGGTGTAAACAAAAAGGTTCGTTGTCACATTTTGTAGGTTTTGAGTTAATAGCGGGAAACTTTATAAAATATAAATTCAACTTTTTATGTATAAACGTTCGTTGTCCGTCAACCCTGTGACGTCTGAAATGTGTTCTTCAACTATTAATGTTAAAAGAAATTATCGATGTTCATAAATTAGAACATTTTTGCTTGATCTTCAAAATTTGAAGCTCCATGCCATCGAAGGTTTTTATTTTCTTCGATTCATGTATTTTACATTCAGTAAATGATTCCTGTAAACACAAAATAATTGTTGCCCCAATCATTTCTGAATGCCTCAAAAATGCACGCAACTCGTACGGAAGTGTCTATTGCACTCATTTCAAAATGCCGGACTCTGCTCCTATCATCGCCTCATTCGTTAACATTTCATTCCAATACCAAACAATACCTGGCTGTAATAGTTACGAAAATAACTATAGCCGGATCCTTGTAGAATTCTGAAAGATTTCTAGGAAAAATCTACTTTCGGAAGATTTCAAGGCGCCTACAGTGGAGAAGCACTGAATAGTTGTAATGCCTGTAGGGCACAACATGAATTACGACTTATTTCAGAGCCTTAGCATGGACGAGTTAGGCAATGTTGTCTTAATATAATGAATTTGGGTAGTGTTAATACAAAATCTGTAAATGAGTCTCCACGCTAAGCTAGTTTTTTTAATAATTTACTTGTGATCTTAGTACTGTACAAAAACATACTTGCAACTGATTGGCTCTTTCATCCCTCTCTTCCATTAGTCTTGCAGAAGTATTTGATATTATTTCCATATCACACTGTATCATTTGAATCTTGTTGTAGAGTTCATTCATGCCAGAGAAGTCCTGTAAAATAAGTAAAATTTCTCTACATGAGGAACTAAAGTATGCTTGCGACAAGATGTATTTCAAGTTCCATATAAAGATATATTTGAATGTATTTTCATCCCATTTTATTTTCCAAATGTTACCAATACCAGAAAAGTTGTGCTATATTTTTAATACCAAAAACTATTTTTAACCTAACTGAACAAACTCACAGAACAGTAATGTGGATGAATGTGGATCTTGTATTTTTAGTTCTTTCACACATAAGACTCATGCTGGCCAATTCTGATCGGGAGACGTTAGAATTACTAATAATTGCTCCGAGAGTAACCTAGGCTAGATGTTATCGCTTCTGATTTCGAAAATAATTTTAATTTAGAGAATAATCCAAATATAGTTGCAGATTCCCCTCTAGCAGGCCGAGATTCTCTGTAACTAAACTCATTTGCCTGGTGGTCCGGAACGGTTTACATATTTAATATTATAACTAAAGGAAAAGATAATTTCTGCATGAAATAATTATTTAAATGAAAGAAATAAGTGATAAATAAAACCTCAATCTCGTATTTTAAATTTCATACAAACAAGATGATGGTTAAATTTCATAGAATATGATGGTTGGAAAACCTTTTTTATTTTTTGTTTGGTGAGCAATCGGTAGTATTTTTAGTGTGAGTTGACAAGGTTGCTGATTGAATCTTCGATTGAATAATACTAACATTCTATTTATATTTATTTTCATTCCATTGGTTTGTTTTTATATGGAAATTAACGCAATATGATCTCGACCAATAATTTGGTTATTCCAAATAAAAAGGTAATTTATATTACATTGATAAAATACGAATTGATACCATATGATTTTCGTAGAAAATAACAAATAACAGTACATTGATCTTATTCAATTTCAAAAGAGGGCAAATTCCACAATTTTAGAAGTGTTTTGATTGTACTAAAATAAACGACGGGAAGATATACGTACCTGAGCAAAACCTTCTGCACCAACAGCTCCAGCATTAACTCTTTCTACCAAGAGTCCAAGCTCTCGTTCAATGTCATTAGCCTGCTCTTGCACATTCTCAATTTGTTGTGTCGTTGCTGCTTGTATGTTGCGTATTTGTTCTGATAATTCTTCATTTTTGCCTTGCAGTTTATTAAACTTCGCGGGATCAACGAAATCGACCTTTTCTCCTTTTTCGAAATGGTCCCATCTGCCGCCACATAAGACATCCAGCTACACATGGAATGGAAAGTAATGTTAATATTCAACATAATGGAATGCAATGATAACAATGAAAATAAACACAAGTAAATAATAACTTCAAAAGAAAAGTTTAATAACTTACAGCATTTTTCACATTTTTCATATCGTGTAAACATTTACAATAAGCATCCAAAGGTGTACCACCTAGAATAAGAGAGCTGATGTTACTTTAAGCTGTATTACATAAGTTAAACATATTGGCCTTTCTACAGGTGGTAGCTTAACAGGGACGTGGAATGCGATAAAGCAGAGAGACAGAGAGAGAGAGAGACAGAGAGAGAGAGACAGAGAG